TTTTTAAATGTTAACATGCATCAGTGAAAACAACAATTGCACTAATTTTGTTTGTTTGTTTTCTTCCTTTTTTTCTGGAGCCATTACATTCTTCTGGTTCAAAAAGCAATGCTCAAATTTTTTTTTTAATTGTTCAAAAAATAAATACATAAATATGTTCTAACATTAAAGCACATGTAAAGTACTTTATTATAATTGTAATTTTAGTTTTTTAAATATTACATTTATATTTTTAAAAATGTAAATTTATTAAATTGGAATAGAATAGAATAGAAATGATCTTAAGTCTACCATAAATGGTTGTTAGTATACTTCAGCAGTACACTTTAACAATATTTCAAAGACAATAGACAACAGAATAAAGATGTATTTAAGTCCCAAAAACATAAGCTTAGTTTAGCTATCTGTGTTCAATATAAACTTAAAACTATAATACATTTTTTTTTAATTGAAATTAAAATGCAATTGTCAGGAAATATGCTAAAGGTACTTCTTTTTTAAAAGACCATGGCAGTAGTCTAAAATCATTAAAATATTGCATACCTCTTTCCCTAATTTTGGATAAACAGAAGTTGTGAGTGGTACGTATGGAATCATTTTCCACTGTCAAACTGTTATTGTTCCTGTTAAAGATGTTAGAGACACGTAAGTTTATTTCAATGGAAATTAAAAACCATGACAAAATGGTACAACAGGTATAGAAAACATGGCATTTAGCTGGTAATACGTGACATTGTTCATCATATCAGACATGTAAATGCCCTTTTAACAATAAAAGTGAAGTGAAAATGTGAAAAAACAAAGGCTGGGGAACAAAGTGAAAGGTCAGAATCTTAGCTGGGTTACACAAGCAGGTAGATACATTTCAAAGCACACACGAAAGAGGAAATGTGGTTACACCATTTCCAAAAGTCATAAAGGTAACAACTGATCTCGCCTTGATATCAAAGCTAACAAAATTTTATAGTACATGCATTTCTCTTTCCTGTAGACCTCTGCTTCTTTCCTGTGAATGAACCAGATGTTTATCTGATGTATATTTTAAAGATCAGACGTGCCTGTCAAGCACAAGATAAAACCACTCTATTTTTGTTTCCATGCAGTCAACTCATGTGTCCTGTGGTTAGTGAGTGTGAGAGAGGTATTCCCTGACTTCATATGACTTCAGCATGATGTCCATATCCTGACAGAGGAACTATTTAAAATAAAGTGCGGGAAAAAAGCATTTCTTCAAGGGTTTTATGAGCCTATCATTGTGGTTTTGGATCACCATTAAACATATTTGATCACATTTTGGGATTTAATGTTGGGAACTAAAGATGAATGTAATTAAAAATATATAGATTCATTTGTTTTACATATTTAAGTATTTAGACATCATTATTCAAGTAAAATAATGTAACAATATATTGTACAGGATGACATACATAATGACCTCGGTGCAGGGTTGCCCTTTCTTCACTCAAAAAAAAAAAAAATACAGCAACAACAACCATTGTTCAGTTTAATTAATTAAAATGAGCTAAAGTAACATGATTTTTGAACATTTTGCACCATCTTATTTTTATTTACTTGTAATTAAAATTAAAGTTTCTAGGGATGCAATGATATCAAAATCTCACGATACGATATTATTGTGATATGAAGTCCACAATACAATATTTATTGCGATATTTAAAAAGAAAAAAAGGCAAATGAAGAATTGGGAAAAAATGAAAAATTTGCTTTGTAACTGGCAGCCCTTTAGAGCGGCCTCCAAAGCACACAAAAAGCTGCTCAGACTGTCTGAACGACTTAGAGTGCTCAACGTAAACTCTGAGTGCCCGGACCGGGCACAATAAGTTCTGACCCTGTTCACCGTCCACCGTAGTGAGGGCCAGCAGGGATATTACCTGGGCTCTGAACGGAGTTTTGAGCGCCATGACCCGTAAGCCAGCTGATTGTAGCGGCTCGAAGGGAGCCGTCCTTAGAACTAAGGACAATTCCCACGTCGGCACAGTCCTGGTAAGAGGAGGATTCAACCTCCGAGCACCCCTCAGGAATTTAACGACCAAGTCATTCCTGCCGACTGTCTGACCAGCCATGAGAGAATGATTCGCTGCGATGGCTGCCACATAGACTTTAAGTGTGGATGGGGTGTGCTCCTTTTCCAACAGTTCTTGACGAAAAGTTAGCACGTAGGACACATCACATGAATTCAGGTCCTGATCTCGCGCTCAACACCAGTCACAAAAGACTGACCACTTGAGAGCGTAGAGATGTTTTGTAGAAGGAGCTCTATCTTCTAATATGGTGATAGAGACTCTCGCGGGGAGCTGGCTAGACTCCCGTCATGGGACCAGTCATGAAGGTTCCACAGCTCTGGCTGGGGGTGCCAAATCTTGCCTTGTGCCTGCGAGAGAGTCTCTCTCCTCAGTGGTATCGGCCACGGACCTGCTGATGTCATCTGAATCATTTCTGGGAACCAAGGCTGGTTCCTCCAAAGTGGGTCCACCAAGAAGAGAGAACATCTCATTTCCCTGACTCACCTTTTAAACCGAGGGAGCAGAGCGATAGGAGGGAATGCGTACAAATGGGTGTTGGGCCAATCATGGGCCAGAGCATCCCGCTGTGTTGAGAAATAGATTGGGCAGTGACAGTTGTCTTCAGAGGTAAAGAGGTCCACCTCTGCCTTGCCATAAACCGACCAGATCATCTGATCCGATTGGGGATGTAGTCTCCATTCTCCTGGAGCTACATTGTCCCTGGACAGCATGTCCACTCCCTGGAACGCCGGCTTGCCCTCGTACAACGCGCCCCAGCCCGAGCTGGAGGCGTCCGTTGTGACCACCATCCTTCAGGAGGTCGTTCCCAACCGCACGCCTGTTAAAAACAGATTGAGGAGTCGTCCAAGGAGCCATAGCTTTGACGCAGCGATGGGTTACCCTGACGCGATGTCGGCCAAGACACCAGGTATGGGATGGTCCACAAGTCTTTAGCCAATACGGGAGGGGCTGCATGTAAAGCAGGCCCAGGGGAATAACTGAGGAGGCGGCTGCCATGAGACCGAGCATCCTCTGAAACATCCTGAGCGGACATGTAGTCCCCAACTTGAATGACGCCACCACTTGCTGAATATTCAGGGAGCGTTCCGGCGAAATCCAGGCTCGCATTTGAACCGAGTCTATAACTGATCCCAGAAAGGAGACCTGCCATCTGGGAGTGCGCTTCCGGGGCCGCCCCCAGGCCGAGTTCCCCCACCGCCTTCGTGAGGACACGGATCAGCTCCGAGTCTACACTGGGGCGTGCAGACTGAGAAAGAGCGAGGTCTTCAGGCTCCTCGCCGGAACCCACCCACTCTTCAGCGTCAGATGCCGTGAAGAGTCATAGAGTCATCAACGATCACCTCCTCCTCTGAAGCACAGAAAGACACCAGGCCACTCGCAGCCGACGAGGGGTGTTTATCCTCATGTGTGAAACACACTGCCAAACTGAGGCGCTGCGGGCAGAGTGAGGTATGCGGGCGCTGGGCCAACGTAATCTCACTCAAGCCTGATGAGGCCCACTGCTCCGCTGTTTCTTTCTCTTGGGCGAGAATGGAAACAGGAGAGCAGAATGGGGAGGACCGCCTTCGTGGAAGAAGGCAATACGCGAACAAAGGAGGGAGAGACTCATCTTCCCACAATGAGAACATGAAGTCTCAGTGAGCGCAGCCTCTGCGGTGCCGCTACCCAGATAGGCAATGCACTCACTGTGCCCATCAGCATCTTGCAGATCCTTGCAGGCGCTGCACTTGCGGAGCGACATTTGCAACAACGCCGCTGGAAATTTGCTCTGGAAATGCTCTTAGATAGCCGGATGGCCGCAGGGGAATCATCTTCTTCCGCTGCTAGTGGCTCCTTCCACAGCAGAGAGCGAGGAGAGCAGGAGAGCAGGTGAGTAGCAGCTTCTTCTTTCTGCTTCTTCGGCTTCTTTGTAGTTGGGTCAGCGAAGAGAAGGTCTCGTCGCTGAAGGAGAAGATTCTGATGAATGGCGCTCTGAGCCAACTTATATACAGGTCAGCTCTGCCCATTCTGGCGAGCTAAAGCGCCATTGGTTTGTGCAGTTACACAAACGTTAACAAATCAGGCTTCAGTAACAGGGTAAACAGGAGTGTAACCCATAACGCAACGTGAAGTGAACGTTCGATAGGGAACACCGGATCACAAGCTGATCGCATGAACAATGTGTGCACTTCGCTTTAAAACACACAGCAAAAACGGGCTTGATGAAGGGATTAAGCCATATCGTGCTTTTGGTTTTAGTTCGTTTGACAGATACTGTGCCAAACCATAATGACCCAAAACAAATATATTTTAAAAACTACACCTATCGCTTCATATCGTCATATTTCATATTTGCTATCGCGATATTGATAATATTGTTACATCCCTAAAAGTTTCATTAATTAAATTGTGTTAAACCTACACAAATCATTTGGTTGACATAATTAACTGAGTAGTTGATCTGTAGTTCCCATCATACTTTGCAAGGGGCTGCAATAGAAGAGTAAATTTAGGCAGCGTTTTTCAGTAAAGGGAAAGACATGTAAGTGTTTAATGTTCAGTTATGTTGACATTTAGAGGAGTTTCTGTAATTTTTTTGAATTTTGTGGTTACCATTATGCAGAAAAGTGTGGCCTGTGCATAGGATGTGGGCACTCAATGAATAACTGCAATTCTAGTGTCAGTGCTGATACTAGTATTTTTGTTTGTTCATTATATGTATTGTTCCTAATGATATACACAACTGCTTGATTAAGCATTAGAAATTGAATGAAATTTCAGTGAATGTTTTTTTTTTTTTTTTAATGAATTAACAATTAAATTGCGTGTAAAAACCTTCTTCAATTAAATTAAGGAAGCGCAATGAATTTATTTTTGAGTTGGAAAAAAAATTAAGGGAAGGTCTAATTTAGGGAAGAACGATATGGTTAAAAAGGTCTCAGAGTTTAACCACCACAGCGTCATTTATCTGTTAACATGTATGCCTTGACTGGACATAAATGCCTGGAACTTGCTTTTGCGATGTCACTTCTCTATTGGGCAGACTGTAAGTAATAGCTTGTCTCTTGCACTGAAATTTGATGATGGCACTATGTTAATATTTTTAATTTTATCTTCTAAATTATAAACTTTGATACAAACAGTTATATAGTTTCAATTCAAGCCTTTAACTTGATCATTGGCAGCCTGCATAAACAATGAACATCAACATTCACAGTATTTCCATGTAAAGTTTCATTTGTACTGTCTTTAAGGCAGCCCCTCTCCGCAGGATGATTTGGCTCCCCTTGAATTGCAGTTCCATTCTTTGGACTTCAGAAATGTCTTACACTGGAAACATCCACACAAAGCTGTCAAGAACCTGACATATTCTGTTCAGCATAAAATGTAAGCGTGCACAAAGTTCTTGTCAAAGAACGTAAATTAGGTTTGGATAATAACTTGCCAATATCTGCTGCACCACCCAAATTGAATCCTCACATTTCTGTAGCTGTGAAAAGTTTCATATTGGTGACCTCTCTTTCAGATACGGAGACAAGGAGTGGACTAACTCTGAACACTGTCAGGGCATCCGGTTGCTGGAGTGTGACCTGAGCCAGGCAACGTCAGATCCCAGAGAATGGTACTATGCCAGGGTCCGTTCCTTGTCCTCTGAGGGCTTCTCATCATGGGTCCTTAGCCACAGGTTTTACCCTCAGTGGGAAAGTGAGTATACTGCATCATTTTAATTATGATTTTCCATGAGAAAAGCTTATAATTCAACACATTTGTCCACATTTGAAATGATCTTTCATCCGTATATGGTTGATTTTGATATGGAGGTGCCAATCGAAGAGGAACAAAGATTACACAATGTGATTGTGATGGCATAACAGCACTATGTTATATTTAGTTGTTTTTTCCTGTGGAACTTATCATCAAACAACTTCCTCTGAATTACAGCCAATTTCAGCCCACCGCAGATAAAGGTGACCGTGACAGGACGGATCATTTCAGTGCAAATCAGACCTCCGAGGACACCACTGCAAGGACAGAGGGGCTCTAGGATACGAGTGACAAAACTGCAGAAACTGACATTTAGAATATACCTAATACACAATGATGTAGAAGAGGTAAGAAAACCCTTGCATATAAATGTACAAATTCAAGGTGTATATATAGTATATGAAGCCTATGTGAAATTATAGATTTAAACAATATCACATGGTCAAGACTCATGGAACAACACCACTCTTGACTCAAGAGTGGTGTTGTTCAGATTATATGCACAGTTTTAGTTCAATAAACAAGAAGTTCATATTAAAGAACTCACATTTTAAACACAGTATTTCCAGTTTAATCACCTGTTTTCGTCGGTTTAATGTGTTCTGTCGTGTCAACACTTAGTAAATGAACGAATCGGTTAAGAAAATGATTCATTTACCCACACTCATAAAGACAGTTACTTGTCACCAACTTCTGGTGGAAAGATTTAACCTGCAGAAATAGTCAGTTTAAAATCGTTACCTCTAATATTCAGTCAGTTTATCAGGAAGTCGCAAACACGGAAAGCGGAGTGATAAAACAAGTGAAAAGTTCAGCATTGTTGTATCAGTGCTCTTGGAACGCTCCTCGGCCAATCAGATTCGAGGACCGAAACTAACTGTTGAATATTAAAGTTAAAGGGTTAGTTCCCCCAAAAATGAAAATGCTGGAATTATTTACTCACGTTCATGTCGTTCCAAAACAGCAGGACTTTCTTTCTTCTGTGGAACATATTTTAAGAAATATCTTTTTCCATACAGTGGAAGTCAATGATTACCAAAACCTTTTAGTTACCAAGGTTCTTCAGAATATCTTATTTTGTGTTCCACTGAAAAATTGCAATACAGCTATTTGTTCATGATTCTGAGAGAGCAAATGACTGGATTAGTTAATTAGCTTGCTTATTGATTGATATCTTTATTTATTGCAATTTGTTAGATTGCAGAAAATAATCTGTATAGGAACACTGTCATGCACAGAGCAAATTGCACTTCATTTGGCGGTTTTTCCAAAATGTTTTGAAATTTTAACCATAACTGTCTGGCAGCCCACGCACTAAATTTACTGTAATTATTATAAATGACTCCAAATTCCTCAAATTCAGTATGCTAAACCTTCACCAGTCCCATCTTTCCCAAATAGGAAGTTTATGAAACAGACAGTTGCTCCAAGGAGCTTGTGATCGAGGGGTTACGTCCGAAAACCACCTACTGCCTTCAGGCTGTGTCCGTTACCCCTCGCTCAGGCCGCAAAAGCTTACGGAGTCTCAGCACCTGCATCAGCACTCATTGAAGGCTTAGTGTCTCCCACAGGTAAGCCTTACGTAACACGTGATATGGTTTCTTTAGTAAGGGAAACACCTGAGATAAATGATGGTGTCCATGACAAGTTTCCGCCTTTGTGCTTTCTCCAAGTTGCCTCCCGGGTATTGATGGTTGGTAGACAAAAAGACGACAAAGTGAGCACAGACACGCTACTTGTTATTCGAGACAGAGATTGCACTCTTGAGACACCCTCAGATCAAGTTCCAACCACCTTAGGATAAATTAGAGTGATTGTCTACTTTGCTTAGAGTTTCAGTTCTGAGAATTTTGAGCACATACAAGATGCACGTGTATTTTTAGAGTATTGGTATTATTTCTGGTTTCGATTATAACGTTTCTGTTTTATCTGCCTGCAGGGTGAGGCTGCTTCTGGACCTTTGTTCAACATGAAAATTACACACATACACACTACATAGTGGAATGTCTGCAATTTTTCACCAAGGTCACGTTTACTATAAGCCTGGCTTTGCCTTTAGGTTACATTAAAGCTGAAGTGTGTAATTTCTGCACCACTAGCACCATCAGCAAAATAATGACCGTTTACACACAGGTTTCCTGAGCACTCATCTTGAATTGGGTGGACAAAGAAATGGTGCCACCCTCAAATCACACCACTGGCTTGAGCCAACAGCAGTGGAAAGCATTTACACTCGTTTTTTTCTCAGGGAAATCAACAAATGGCTTACTTGAAGATATTTAGTATTAAGTTCGCTTTTTTATTATTATTATTAAAATATATACACACTTCAGCTTTAAGGGTAATGACTGCTGAAAATAAAAACATGAACTAATTGTCACGTTTAGGGCTGAGAACTGAACACCAGACAGTAGTAGTTGAATGTTGTGTTAAACAGTGTTGGAACTCAATAAATATACAACAAATGACTGAAAGTAAAACTAAATAAATTATGAAAGAAAAACAATGCTTAAATGTTGCATAAAGTATTTATTGGTCACTTGTGTACAGTAAAATAGTAGAATTTGATATAAATGAGATGATTCTGGGCTCAGCCCTTTTTTCTTTGAGCCCTCCTGGAGCAAATAACCAGTCCACATCTGAACAGAACAGCTTTTAACATTAAATTGGTCACATGGGTAAAACATTGGATAAAAACAGAGCTCAATACAACATACACTAAAGAGCAAAACCAGTAAAACTATTAGCAGTGCATGTGTACCATGTAACAATCTTCCCAAACCGTTTCACAATCCAAGACTTCAACTTTGGTGAAAACATAAATCTTCTGTTTTCTGTCATTCCCACATCTGTGTCATTCACGTTTGGAAATCGGTCTAAATGAAACTGCTTTAAAAGTTTGATCTCTGCAGTTCTCCCACAATAGGAGAAATGATTGTGCTTAGACAATAACACCAGATGAATTCCTTAAAAACAGGCATCATATTATTACTTCATATAGTAATGATCATTGCAAGACATAAAAAGGAGGCACCACAATGTCTCTCCAAGTCCTTTGTTCTTATGAATCCTAATGTGCAGTTGTCTATCTAAACGAACAGTAATCTTTATGCCTTAATACAATAACAGTGTAAATGTAATGAACAATCATCATGACTCGAAAATTCCAGTGCTACAAACATATTTTGTTCTTCTTTCTTCAAAACAGCACCACATAATGGGTGTTTTTGAACAGGAGTCAGTGGGAAAACCTCTGATTATTTCTGAACAAACAGTACATTTATGCTGACTGAAATAATTACAGTAAATAATTCTAATCCCTACTATAACAGCTTTTTCAATACTGAGTTGTTTCTCAAACACATCTTCTCCAGTTAGAAGATGAGAGTACTAAGAGTACAGTGCTCTTCCATTTGACACCCTATAACCACAAAATAACGTTTCAATTAAGTACGTTTCAAATCACAGTCTCCAGATACAAGATACAAAACAATATTTTAAGTGACACAAAGAGAAAATGGAAAAGCAAGTTACTGAACTACTTAAGTCCACAATGAACAAGTTAATAATGCAGTCTTTTACACAGGGTAATGCTTAAGAAAACAGTTTGAATATACAGAATGACAGTTTAAAAAAAAAAGCATTTGGGTTTTGCAGAAACAGATTAAATCACTTACACAGTTCAAGCACTAAATCCTGATTTAACATTATATAATTCTAAACATTCTGCTTTAAATTTTTAGTGAACCTACTGAAGTGTAAAACTCAAAACCAAGCTACTCAGATGGTAACAGTTTTAAGTAGCATCCTGGTGCTTGATGAATCTATTAGTTAAATCCATTTTTTTTAGGTTTTGTATAGACTGGAATGGTTTGTAAATAATAGCAATATTGATAGACACTAACAATATAGTTAATTCATTCATCACTATTTGGCAGCATAATGCAATATCTATATATATATTTGCTTCCCATTTGGGTTATGCAACCTAAAAAGCTACAGGCATGTGTACACCTCTAAAAGACATAATTAGATAAAATGCATCTGACTTAAAGCTAAAAAAGGAGAGTCCATGAAGTTCCTCTCCAATATAACTTTAGAAAAAATAATGTTCCAAAATAATTTTTTTTAAAAAGTAGGAAAAAATTTCAAATAGGTCACAAAAGACAAAACCCTGAAAATGTAATGTATTAGTACAGTAAAAATAAAGAGCTATGTAGGGAACTGCGCTGTTTGGCCTGGCAAACGTGAGGTCTGTTAGTTTGGTCAATCACATTAGCTATGCCACTTCATCTGTACAACTATTATTATTTATATTAACACTGTGGGCCCTGTTTATGCCTTTCATATGACATTACGTGATACGAAATCAAATGACAAAAATGCCTGAACACTTTAAAAATCTGTAGTTTCTAACAGAATCTGAGATCTTGTTCATCAGTGTAAAAGGTTTACAAATCAAGTCACTTTGTAAAAACTACAAACCAGCAATTCTACTGTAAATTCAGTGGAATGTTGATCATTCACTTCATATATGTCACTTCATATTAAATTACATATCAAAGTAAACAGCATATAAATAAAAGTACCACAGAATATCTCCAGCAGCAATGGCTCAAATATTGATAAAAAAAGGCCACGATGTTAATCTTGGGGGAAAATAAAAACAACTAAATGTCATGTTGAACAGACAGATGCAAGACAAAAATAAGACCGTGTTCCAGATGCAGCTTATTTCAGGATAAAAACTCTTTCTCCAGTTCAAAGACAGACGGTCGACTTGGTGTGCTCTGTATTCGACAGAGGGGAACAGTGCAGTCTCGTTTTTGACCCTCTGTGTCCATATCCAGCAAAGAGCAGCCCATTTTGACCTCTGAGGGGAGGACCATGTCCAAGTTTTGGGCACTCTTCTCCCCAGAGTAGTGCCCAAGAGAATAGCTCTTATTGCGGCTCTTCAGAAGACCCCAGGAGTGAGGTTTGCTTCTTAGGGAAAGCGGCCTGTGTCTAGAAGCTGATTCTCTGGAGGCTTGCTTCTCTTGAGCAGGCTCTCTGTCAGCCTTCTTTTTCAGGGAAGTGGTAGAGAAATCAGCTGGACTGGCCTGAGAGTTACTGCTGCCATTAACTTAAGCAAAGAAAGTAACATCATTAATAAACAAGATTTGAAAACAAAACTTCACTGTCGTGGGTTAATGCAGTAATGAGCAGAGTAAAACCTCTAAACTTTTTTGTAATCCCATAAACCAACAACCTAAATTAAATGCACTAAAGATACACAACATATTGCTAATCAGCTGATATTTGATGGTTTTTAAGTTATCTTTACCTTATCTTTATTATTGAGAGTTTAATTTCACATACTCATTTCAAACTACTTTATATTTAGAACATTTAGATTATATATTTTTTATAGATAAAATATATAATCCATCATTTTAAATGCTACAAGTGAACAACATTATAATGTAAAATATGAAAACGTGAGTATTTTAGATAACATTTAACACTATTATAAAATTCAACTAAAAATGTTTTTAGATGACAGCAAAGTTATGTATTATGTATTAGGTGCATTTGATGTATTAGATGACAGCAAAGGTAATCTAAATATAAAAATGTGTGTTTATCAGCAAATATTATATATTTAAAAAAATGTATCTGTATTGGCACTGATATTCAGTGTTTCACTTGACAATCATTTTCATCTATTTTTTATTTAGATTGCCTTTGCTGTCATCTAATAAAAACACTAACGATATAAAAACCATATAAAAAAAAAAATCTAAGATATTGATTTTTCATAGTTTAAATTATAACGCTGTGAGGTCTATATTCGCTTGTAGCATTTAAAATGATCAGATTTTATATTGATTATATATACATATATGTTTTACATTATTTTGACAAAATGGTATACAATTTTAAATTGGTAAGCCATTTATCAGTTATAAGAAATAATTATTATATTGTGATCATTCCTAAAAAAATAACAACACATCACTTACTGGTCTGACACACAGCAGGGCTGGACTTCTTTCTCCTAAGCCGAGAGCTGGATCCAGAAGGATGATCTTGTAGAGGGGCTGAGGGAAGAATGTCACTAGTGCCTGTATTCTGATGCGTCTGGGAATTCCGAGCTGGAGTCTTGTTCACTAGGTTATACCCAGTCCCCTCAAAATCTGACTGCAGGAGGCACTTGGTGGAGTTGCACTCAGAAATTGATGACATGGCGAGTAGATTAACGGGTCCTGGGGTAACCTCATCCTTGCATGAGCGGCCACCGGGGGGGCTGGTGCTGCGGCGGAAGCGAGTGGCACGCTGAAACAGGCCCTCTCGTTTTTTCTTCTCCTCACGTGGCTCTGGTTCCTCATTAGCAGCACCCTTACAAACCTCCCGCAGGTCGAAGCCGAAGGCGACAGATGCCAGGATGGAGGCACAGCCATAGAGAACAGCGTCTGTGCGCCGGCGTGTGGTGGTGCGCTTCAGGCTGTTGGTGGGTGTGTGCTGCGGTGTGGTGCTGGTGGAACTGGTGGAGGTTGTTGGGTCCTCCTGGCTCTCACCTCCACCAGCCGGCCCCTGGCTCTCCCCATGTTCATCTTTCCACAGAGGTAGATCAATATACACCTGGTTGGGGAACTTGAGTTGCTTTGGTTTGTTGTCAGATCCATCAGCAGAGCACACTTCATCTATATCGGTTCCTGGAAAAACAACAAGCTAACAAAGTTAACAGCTAAAGTTTAGGGGCAGTAATTTTTTAAAAATAAATACATACTTTTATTCAGCAAGGGCTCATTAAAATTATCAAAAGTTATGTGAAAAAAATAATCACTGTTTTCACAAAAATATTAAGCAGCACAATAATAAAAAATGTTAACTGAGCTCCAAATTAGCATATTAGAATGATTTCTGAAGGATCATGTGACACTGAAGAAACTGGAGTAATGGCTGCTGAAAATTCAGCTTTGCCATCACAGGAATAAATTACATTTGTAAACAGTATTTCACAATTTTACTATGTTTTTGATTAAATAAACGCAGCCTTGAGGAGGATAAAAGACTTCAAAAAACAAGCAATTTTGAAACAAGATTAGATAGAAACAAGACTAGACAGAATCTAAAAGTGCAGATTTATTAATTGTGCCAATATTAGTAGTTAAATCAATTCACCAAAATACAGCAGAACGCTGCACATAAATGGGTGCCGTGACACAGAGGCTGCGTGTGAAATCTCCTCCTACACCCTAATCGGCACTATTTGAGGGGACAGCCATTCATTGTGGTGTCCAAAACCATAGGGGACGTTATCGAGTGCACTCATTTAATCCCATAATGCACCACAATAACGAGTGTACAACCGATGTACACTCAACGACTAGAGAATACCCAAAGTGCACTGTGAGTGTCGTGCCAAATAAATTTCCACATCTCACCTGAAGATGGCGCCTGCAGCTGAATCATCCATCTATTTTCCAAACCGCTGGTCCGATATAGGAACAGTGCAATTTGATACAGGTATAAATTTATTTTTACTTGATCATTAAATTGTTTAATTAAGATTTATACATGCTAGTTTCCATGACAGAGTTCAAGGATCTTCTCTACTACTGGAGCTGCCAGTTTGCTAAGTTTCAAATTATTATTAAACAGCAAGTACACATTATGCAGAAGCGGCAGCCCTTCTGGTGCACTCAGCGTCTGAATTCGCTTACTCGTTTTCACTCACACCTTCAACTGGACTAGATTATTGGACTAATATAGGGAATAGTGAATGAGGGTATGGGGGGGGGGGCGATTTCAAACCCAGCAGGTGATTAATGTCATGTTCTTTGTAACATGATTTAAAGATACAACAAACAGCGATGAAAATTGAGTACATGGAAAAAGTAAATGGAAGATGAGCCTTCTTTACATACCCTGCTCTGCAAATAATGCAGCCAATGGAACAGATTTCTGGGCCTTCATAAGACTAGTGGACCAGGGACTGCTTCCATCTGAGAGAGGGCGAACTCTGAAGACAACATGACAGTGACACCCACAATTTATAACTAATTAGAACACATCTAAATCATCAGATTTACTGAATCATTAAAAAGGTAACATACATTGCACACTTAAATCACACACAAAAAGAAAAATAATATTTTTGTCTTTGCTTAAAAAAAATGAACAAAAAAATAAACTGTTCTAACCTTTCAGCACAATTTCCTCTTTCCTTGGTCTGTACAGAGCTTGGCCCCCATGTGCGGCCCTTCTTCTTAAAACCTTTCTTAACATCTTCAAACTCCTCAGGTTTGTAATTGGTGCTTCGGCCCCATGTCCTGTTGCTCTCGTCCAGGGTCACTAAAGGTGAAGATACAAAGAATTTGAAACAGAATTGCTAATACTAACAGAAACTTTCTTAACTGACAGTCCCAATATCTGTCACACCACAGACTGAGATTCCATATATTAGTCCTTCACAGCGGAGCGCCAACAGTTTTTTTAGTGAATAAAGGCAACCTCCACCACCCAGGCCAGCAACACGGAGATGGAATTATAACTTATAAATAGGTGTTAGATCATTACAATCATTCTCAAAAATGGTTAATGGAGCTTCAGGAAGATCATTGGGTTGACCTTAAACTATTGAAGCACCAGCTCAAGGTCCACCCAAATGTACCTGATCCCAAAGGCAGTGAAAGCAAACTCATTACAAACCATTAAAACTTCAAAAGCATCAAGCAATGTGTTATGACAATCATCTGTATCCCAAAGTCATCAAAACAAATGAGATGCTGCAGAGCAGTAGTGATCAGGAATCACACCAACACACAGTTAGATGGGGTGGCTTTGTCTCACAGGACCACAGTGTCCTTGCCTTTCTTCCTAAACCCGCTAGGAGGTTTACACTCGCTTGTGATATCCACATCCTGGTGATACACAAACATACTGCCCCTTCGACTAGTGTCACTTGTGTGGCTCACTGATGGGAAGAAAATATGTTACAAACCTGTGACAGACATAGGAATCAGACTGGCAATGTCATACTAAGTTGCTCACAACTGAATTGATTAGTATGACTGTCTTTAGTACATGATTTCTTTTTACTGTATTGAAATGGGCTAAAGGGATATGGGCCAATCCTTATATTAGCTTACGACAATTATGTTTGTTTGAATTTCAGTTTCTTTTTCAGTTTCTTGTAGCAAGATAAATGATGGAACTTCCCTTTAAAATAAAGAATAAAATGTTAAACATCTAAACCTACTTGCAAACAGCAATATGTTTGTTTTTTTTATCCCAAAATCTCAAAAGAAATTGAAGAACTGTGGTAAACTAAAATATCAATGTGTAAAACAGTAGGTACTTACACTGAATGGCTCTGAGGCGAGGGATCAGTGTAGGGCTGCTGGGAGGGCTAGAGTTGGTGCTGTTGAGGCTTCTTCTCTTGTCCATAGTCGGAGAGGCCTGAACTGTGATTTTATGCTGAAAATCTGCTGAACACAAATAAGGTTATCCCTTAGTAGTATTTAAATCACTTTAAACATTTCTACTTCAGCCACAATAACATTTCTCACATAAACGTCCTTCACAACCCTAATACTACAAGAGAAAATCTGTAAACAGTCATGATAAACAATTTATTGAGAGACATTAATGTAATATTCATGCTACACTACAAATTCATACAGCTCTAACCTGAGGGTAAGCTGATGCGGTTGCCATCTTTGAGCTTGAGGCGGCTGCGTTTGAACTTGCCCTTTCGTTTCTTAACATTGGGCTTGTCCTTGTTGAGTTGAAATATGAGGATGTTGAGCTCACGCTCAAGCACATTAATTTCCCGCTCAGCCAGCTGCTGTTCCCTCCTCTTCAAAAGCTCTTCATGAGACTTCTGCTGAAGGGTTGCTCGCGTCAGCTCCTCCTCACGTGAACGGAGCTCCTGTTGGTGTGAAGAACATTCGTGATCAAGTACATTTGATGAAGAATCTATAAACAGTTTATCCAAACATTACGTAATGGTGGGGAATAATGATATAATTTCCTTTTCGATTTAACAATTCCTTGAAATTATGACCAAACAAACTATGGCCAAGTTTTTTGATATACTGAACCACTGCCTAGGGAAGCAAAATTGAACAGTTCTCATGTTTATGACTCTTCTGTCTACAAGCAAAAAGCAAAAAAAAAAAAAAAACATCAATGGTATGAATGGCAGTTTCACTTCCTTTGGCCTTGGAGGACAGAGCTCAGATTCCTCTCTGCCTTAAACAGCTCATTTCAGATCGGTCTTCTTTTCTTGGTTTTACCCTTGAGCACCACAAACATATAATGTGAGACCTGTGAGTGAGTTATTCATAAAACAGCAGCACCATTTGTGTGCTAGTAAATAAATACTTAAAATCTGCTTGTTCTGACATTCTGTTTACTTGAAGATGGCAAATGGAAATTCTGCCTTTTGGTTAAAAGAATCAATCACCTTTATGATGGAGCTAGTTTACTTCTCCAAATCTTTTGAACAGAATAATCCACATGTATAAAACTTGCAGGCAGAATTGTTAAGCATTAATCAAAACAGTTTTCCGGCCACATGGAGTAAAGCCGTTTGGCCTAATCTCTTATGAATAACTTCTGTAAGAAGCTTTGGGGCAGTCTGCCAAGAAACACACTTGGGCAGATGATTTAGACAATTCATTAATGAATGAACAATTTGTTCATTTACTAGCGAGGAAAAGTTTTGCGCATCACGAAACAAGAAAAATATTTATGTGCGAAGACTTTACTTACAGCAGTGGAAAAATTCACTGATCAAGAATGTACGTGGAATAAAATGTCAGTTTCTACATGAAGTTTTAGCTGACTTGCAGGAAAGAGCATTCTTGATCAACCAAAGGCAAATCCTTTTCAACATAGCAAGCTGCTAGGACTGGAAGCAGCTTATCATATTAACTTTATCAAACGTTTAAGGCCATTTCACTGGTAATAGATGGGTTTAAGAGGATAAGTTCAACCACAGTTATCCTGTTCAAATCTGAACCAAAAAAAAAAAAAAAAAAATAGGTCCACTGTC